AGTGATAATGCGACTGGCTTGATATTTTTTGATTTCTTTGTTGTGAAGCGTTATATTTGTTTACTCGACATTGTTGTGTTCCACAACAATGCCGAGTAAACAAATATCTGTTGGCATTGTTGATGACGTCATTTTTTGACGACAAATTGGTTGAAGACAACGACTAATCACAAATTTTTATAGTATAATAAAAAGATGTAGGCCTACATGATTCTGAAAATGTTTCGAATAAAGTTTAGACCTAGAAGTTATGACGTATATTTTATAGCACGTAGGCCTACCAATTTTGATTTACGGAAACAAATCCTCCGCCTTGTATTCATCCGCGCATCTCGCCTTGTGTTAAACGTCAATCATCCTTTCGTAGGCGTTGGTGGTATTTCCCGCTGAAACAAGGGCCAAAACAGTTCCGGCTCGCATAATAGAGTTCAGGCACCACAGTAACGAAGAAATTCCGCGGATCCTTGCTTCGATTCACGAAAGGTGTCCCAACATCACCAGGATCTATACGCTGAGCGAGAGCTCCGTGCGGGGAATCCCTCTGTATGCCATCGAGTTCTCCACCACGCCGGGCTATCACCAACTCTGTGAGTATTTCAGTAAATATGATTTTTTGTATCCGTTTTACGAAAACGTAAAGGTACTAGATAAAACCTCAAGATTTCGTACCAGCTAACCACACGAAGCTGTCGAGAAGCTGATAGTAGTTCAGGTAATCAATAAATTCCCCGCCTTCTATCGAACCCGAAGGCTCACAAGAGCCCGATATTAATCTCCTTTCTGCCACGTGAATCCATTCCACACTCTCCCAACCTTTCTACACGATATATTTTAATATTATCCTCCACACTACATCTCGGTCTTCCGAGTGAGTGATATTTTCTCTTCAGGCCTACCACCAACACAGAGGAGTAGCGGATGTATCCCATTTAATTCCAGTCCGTCCTTGTTTCAAAGAATCTTCCCAAAGGCCCATACTGAAGGAAATTTTTGCTCCATCAGCTTACGTTAAAAATTATTTGCAAGGAGAAATATCTCACAAAAAACTGCAGATAAATGTGAATGTATAGGATTTGAGACTTTCGCGGCGAGTACAATAAATAAAATCTTCTCGGGCAATTGATTGCCCGAGAAGATTTTATTAAATGTGAAGGTGTTTGTGCACCTGTGAAAAAAGACCGTGACGTCACATAGACAACCTGGAGATAAAACACCAATATATATATATATATATATATATATCGGCGCCAGATAGAGAAAAGTGGCCAGCTTCAGACTCCGGCCTCTAGCGTACTGAGTGTAGCTCACAGCAGTTGCTTTCTGCCTGCATAGATCAATTCCTCTTGGTCACAAAGTTTCACAGTCAAAAACACCAAACGAAATTTTATATAAAAGTAAAGCAATCCCACAACGCGTCATGTAGGCACTTGGGGGGAGAGAAGGTATCGCTCCTACGCATTCTTAACCTAGCCACTAGGTAGGAGTGAGTCGTCAGCGGTCTATCCCCGGGAAATGACCCCGGTACCCATTGGACAGGATGCTATATACACTTTCTGAATTTTTGTATTTTTGCAGGGAAAAAGATAAAACGAACTTATGAACTGAGTGCTTGAAGATCAATGCATTTCCTGATTTATTTTTTTGTTAATATAATAACGAAAATATAATTTTACGTGTTACTTTCAAATAATTCATACATTTTTAATCTGTAATATATACAATCCTTCAGATTCTTACAATTCTCCACACTAACAGTGAATGATTTTATTAAATTATGGAAACCGTTAAATTGCAGTAAAATTGGTACTGAAATGAAGACGCTACAACGAACTGAACAGCAAGTAGGTCGACAGACAGGCAGACTGACGCTCTAATGCAATTTCGTTTGCATTTCTACACGATTCATGGCGTGTGCTTATTCTTCGGTAGTGCCATAATGTAGATTATACTGTAATGTGAGCTTTGCCTGCAAGATAAGATTTAGTCGAATGAAATCATAACGTTCTGAATTAATGGCGTGGAAACAAACGTGGATAACCCTTGCCTGTCAGTCTGTCCACGATTGTGCCATTTGATCAAATTTACATGCGAGCTAATAGCCTTCAGCTAGCATTGTAAGATGATTAAATCAAAAATGATGAGATTAAAGATTGCAGGGATGTAAATATTTATTAGCCGACGCCACTTGGCCATAGATTTATATTACAACTTTGGAATCCACTTGCATTGCAAAGATGTTCTTCACGCTACATCATGTAGATCGTTGCAGTAATTCGATCCCGGGTCTCATAGTTGTGATACCAACGATTCAAAAGGCCAACATTGACATCCTCACTGCCGCGAGAACCTCAAGTCTCATAAAGAAAGTAAAAATTAAATAAAATATCGGCCTAAGTAGGAATACTTATCGTCAGTTTAAATCTCTCATATCTCAGTAATAATAGAAATGTAGATTTATCTCAGACTGACCTCGGAAACTTTTCGAAAATTTTATGGTTTTACATTAATCGGTATATACTGCTGTCTTACGAGCTTGCTCGCTAGACATATTACTAATTTCCATGTTAGTTACATAAAATTACAAAAGTGAATTGTTCTTCAATTAAATTTTGTCCATTCCAGCTATCACAAAATCAGTCAACAGGTTCAGGTTATTGGTTGGATACAGCACATTGCCAATTTTAAAGGGGAGTTCTTGGTCAAGATATGAGTAATATGGTACTTTCGCCATTTGACGTCATGCTGTGTCTACGACAACAAGCTGAACAGATGCATCTCCGTATGTTGGCGTAATTTCATTCACAGCGTTCGCCGATCAATGCCTGACGTCACGGTGTGGGAATTGGGGGAGGGGGGGGGTCAAGTACGGCCCCGATCTGCTGCTACCCTGCACGACTACTAATGCGAACACCACCACAGACATAAAAAAACTATTTTGAACACTGAGAGTTGCTCAGCAAGCCAATAAATTCCAAACTGTCATTGCTCCTGAGTCCACCACTGTCCTTAACCAAATGATTGTAGTTCATACCCCTTCTCGCTGTGTTTTTAAGATTAATTTTAATATTATCCTCGCATCCATGTTTAGGTCTTACAAGTGAGCTCTTCCCTTAACATTTACCGATCAACATTTTGCATTCATTTCTCGTCTATCTAATACATGCTATATGCCCGACCTGTCTCATACTCCTTAATTTGTTTATGATAATATTAAAAGGTAACGACTGCAAAGTCTGGTGCCAAATATTACGCAAGTGTCTGCCTGCTGTCACTGGCACTGAAGCAGGTTTCTTTCGAGCTCTTCGGTTTATCCACCATTTCTCCAAACTGATCCACGTGCGATAACCCTGAGCAGCCATCACCCTCGATCCTAAGTTGAGAACTTCATTCCGATCGGGGACTTGACTGATCTCTGAGTAGAGGTACTTCAGTCCAGTTCAGTTCAAATTCTACTTTCGCTTATATTTTAGGTTTAGTTTATAATTTGTATTTTCTCATCTTAACCTTCTTATCTCAAGCACCGCCAATAATAACGGGTGACTGGAATACAAATTGGTGACGATACGCCCAAGTTTGGGAGAATAAAATCTTTATAATCTGAATTGGGGAGGGGGTAGATCTGTAGTGATAAAAGTGAATATAGCACGGGAACAGCACTTTCAGAGATAAATACACCCGAGGTCAGGCGGACATACTCTGTGTTTAGAGATTTAAATAAATAAATAGAAAGATTCGCCAAAGAATCGTGTAATCTGACAAGCCTGTAATTGTAGATGCCTGTCTTCTGGGTTGTTGTGCCGCGTAGTCTCGTAGAAGTTTACCGACGTTTCAGAGGACCTTGCTGCCTCCATCATGATGGAATACACAACCCAGAAGACAGCCATCTTCGGGCTCACCGCAGTGAAAACCGCAAATCCTACAAGCCTGTAATTGTGTTACAGACCACCCCGAGTTCAAATACATCGCCAACATGCATGGAAACGAGGTGCTTGGCCGAGAATTGCTGCTTCACCTGGCCAACTACCTGTGTGAACAATTCCTTGCTCGCGACCCGGAAATTCAGCAGCTGATCGAACTGACCCGCGTACACCTTTTGCCATCCATGAACCCAGACGGATGGAAAGTGTCCACTGAAACGGTGAGCGCAGGATCTCTCTCGCCTACTCAAAAATTCCACTGTGTCATCCCTAGAAGGTGATTAATGTCTGTCTGGTGTGTTCACAGGGTGGCAAAGACTACCTGATTGGGCGCAACAATAATAACAGCGTGGACCTGAACAGGAACTTCCCGGACCTGAACCGCATCATGTTCAGTAACGAGGAGGCACACGTCAGCCACAACAACCACTTGCTGGAGCAAGTGGACCGCCTCAAGGAGCCGGCAAGTACCCGGTCTAAATTGACGCACCGCAAAACAGCTAACGCTAAATTATATCGCGGTTAACTAAACGGTATTCGCGAAAAGGACTGGATATTTTAATCCTAAAACCGTTGTTCTGCGTAAAGTTATGCAACAGAATTAGCCGTACAGGTACCCGTCCTAGGCTACAGAACACAGAAAGTTTATTGACAGCTGTCAATTGCCAGTCCCTTCGTCAATACCCCATATAAAATTAATGGTATAAAAGTGATTCACAATTAAAAACAACCCAAATTAATCCCTTTCTTTGTTGACGAATTTTTGTCTTGGTGTAACGGTAAATTTCAAATTTGTACTCAGAAAGTATTCGGTTAGAATATTGACCAAGTTAGCAGCTATCCTCTTCGAGTTTTTAAAATATATATTTTCCTTTTAGTTGAACCCCACTGTATACCATAAAACAGACCACTACCTCCTCCTTCATAATCCATACCAACTCTACATTCACATAAA